CACACACACACACCACATCACACACATACACAACACCACACACACACCACATCACACACACACACACACACCACATCACACACATACACAACACCACACACACACCACATCACACACACACACACACACACACACACCACATACATGCATATACACACAAATACACAGAGACTAATTAAAGTATTAACAAACTACATTTTTTAAGAAGTATCTTGAACAGTAGCTACAGCAACGACTATTTACTAAGCTATTTCTACACACTAGACACCGTCTTTGGCTTCCCGATGCCCTTCCCTCTACCTCCTCTTTCTTGGTTCTTCTATCTCTATTGTCAGAGTTCTTTCCTGGCTCTGGATTTGTACTCTTGCCCCCGAGTCTCCATTTCTGGCATTTCTCTTTTCTGGTTTGACTTTTTCTTTCTTGTCCTTTCATCTAAACCCTTTCCATTCTTACTCTTCCTTTGTAAAGTCATAGTACTCCTTTAAAAAAAGCTCCATGAACCAAAAAAGTGAAGCCAAAGTGAAGCATCTTAACATTGAAAAACTGACCAAGGAAACAAAATCCAACACCCAACAGAGAACACTCCTCAGTACTGTTGCATTCTGGAAAAAAAGGCAGTACCTGCTGGGCACAGTGGGTAAGCTTGTGCTACCATACAAGCCTGGGGATGCAAGCTCCCCAGAACCCACTTAAAGACTGGAGGAGAGAAGAAATGCCACAAAGGTGTTCTGTGACATCTCCAGGTACACTATGGCACAATAACAAAAATCTGAAGAAAATCATAACTGTCACACAAATATACAGAAGGCATAGATGTTGCATGAGCAGTAATAATCTCAAATGAGCACAGACCTAGAATGGACCAAATCTTTTCATCCGCAGAACAGAATTCTGAGTTTACCAACCTATTTATGTTACTGGGTATAAATCAGCTCAGGAGGCTCCCACCTTCTGCAAGACTTGCAGAGCAATAGCAAAAAAATATATCATAAGATTTTTTTTAAGGAATACAAATTATGATAAATATATTTAAAATAGATCCGATTTCTAAACCTTGTTTTGTTTTGTTTTCATAGAAATCGAGGCAAATCTGTGTGGACTTGAAGGGATAGCCGGAAGAGGAGGGACTTACTGAGATTTCCCAATAAGCTTAATTCACTCCCAGAAGCAGCTGGAGTGGAAGTTAAAGTTGGGGCAGAAGGCATTAAGGGAGCTTGTTCTGGAGCCAACCAACCCCCTGTAGGTAGTTCCTTTGCCCTCAGTGGGGGAATTTGGGTTCTGTTCAACAGTTGTGATGGCAGAGATAATAGTGACCCAGCAGACAGAAGAAGCCTTGGGGCTCAGATCATCTCCATTTCAAGAGCATGGGTTCATCAATGAGTTTCTTTGATAAAAGCTGAGTTTTAGGGAATTCCCAAACACTGGGAACTATAAGCATACACAAACTTACATACATACTTTGTGTATGTGTGTGAGCTTGTGGGTAGGGGACCCATAAATGGAAACATCCTTTTAACAGAGACGCCCAGGAATTGCTGTTTATACAAGAAATTACATGATCCCCCTCAATGAGATCTCAGCCTTATCTATCTAACACATCTGGGGCGAAGCCAATTTGATACCCACACTCCCAAACTTTCCCCTCGCCTTCCCTCTCTATTTTGGCATCATCAATGGCCTCCTTGGCATCTGGAAACCTGACTTTCTACTGTGTTTCTTCCCTAGAGCTTTGCCTTTGGAGGCATTTCTGCCCATGCTTCCAGCAACCCATTTGAGTTTTCTACATTTTAAGTCCCTTAGCATGTTGCGAGAGATCACAACGGTCATCTTCACAGTTGTGAGGTTGAACAAAGGTCTCCTGACAGTGCTGGTGATGCCTTTGTCTGGGTCTTTCTGGTACTTCTCTCTCGCTTAGTGTAAAATTACCTGCATTGATTGTACTATTTATTTTGTTATTACTGTAGTGTTTATCCTTTAAGCATTAGAGGTAAAATTGCATAACTAAGTATCATTGGTTTATCTTCTTGTGACCGTTGCCTTGCTGGCTTATTCTAAAACAGGAAAGAGTTCTGAAAAAGACCTTAAAAATAGAGCAAATTGTTCTGTATAGTGATTAATGAAGGGACCTATCTTTTGAGGTCCTGTCATGATGCTGAAAGTTAACTACTGAGGTACGTGAGATGATTTTAATGGGATTTGATCTTTTGTTCTTAATTTAAAAAATTGTATGCATTTGTATGATGTATGCTGGTACAACATGCACACAAGCTTGTGGTGTCTATGCCCATACATGCATATGTAGGCTCTAGCAGGACTTCAGGGGTCTTCCTTTACCATTCTTTATGTGCCTTATTGCTTTGATGCAGGGTTTCTCACTGAAACGGAGGCTTCCTGGTTCAGCCAAGTTGGCTGGTCTGTGAGCTCTTAGAACTCTGCCCGCCAGTTATGAGGTTAATAAGCACAGGCACACATAAGTACTACCTTGCTTTTTCCCGGTGTGTTGGGGATTTGAACTCAGGTCTTCATGCTTGCCAAGACTCAGCCCCTGGGTTTGATATTTTTACATAAATGCTTGCCAATTTGGGTGCAACATTTCCTCATTGAAATAAAAAAGAAAACCGCTTCTGAAGAATAGCCCTCCCCACAGATGTCTTTTTAGGACCAACTAGGGCTCCAAATAATGCTGTCAAAGTGTCTTGTTCTTGTGAGGGGCAGAAAGATTCTTTTGCAATGCTCTCTGATCTGCGGCCTTGGTTGCCTCCTCTACTTTTAAGGAAAAGACAATACAAGATGACCCGTTCTTCCCAATGATAGGAGTTGCTAATTATCTCTAAAATCTCACACTGCAAAAGTGAGTACCAATGTTACAAATGAGGATCGATGTTCTTCCAAAACTTTAGATGAGTTTCCCCTGCCTGGAGAATGCTCCCCATTTTCATCTTCATCAGCTATAAATGCCAAAAATACACGTGTAAATCAATCAGCCTTGTGTGTGCGCACACGTATGCGGTGCACAGGATGTGGTTAATTTAGAAGGACTCAGAGGCAACGTGTTGAGATGGTTGTTGGTTCCAAGGTGCCACAGGAAGATTTTGATAGATGTTGTTTACTGTCGCCAGGAATCTGAATCAAGCTTTCCAGAGAAAGGTCATTAGTGACACTCAACAAATCACTTTTATGTTGTAGCCGTTGTGAAAGTCAAATGGAAATTGTTTTGAAAAGTCAATCAGAGCAAGGATCCCCATAAGTCTGGTTAAGGGAACTTTTCTCAAACTTACCAGTTTGTGGCCAAAATAAAATCCCCTCCCGCCCCCTCCGCCACCAAAAAAAGGTCAGAAACATAACTAAAGGTGAAAGAAATAATTAGAGGAAAGATTTAGCTTCATTAAACAAGATGGGAAGAAGAAGTCCCATAGAAGTATTTGTCAGGGCAACATGGCCTCTCCAGAGCCAGAACATCTAGGCTTTCTTCGGATCCCCTCAACACTGTGAGCACTTAGCAACAGGAGGCTGCCAACCAGACTAGACTGGTTTGCCAGGCAGAGACTGCCAGGTCAAGCAGAAAGGCCCAAGGGGGCTGGAGGCTGGAATTAGGAAATTGAAGACTAGCTGAAAATTTGAGATTTCCTGTACTTAGCTGAGGACCGGGGAGAGATCTGACTTGACCGCATCCAGAGAGGACAGCTTCTGTGTCTCCGGGCCGGCTTTGGAGTGAAGAGGTCGGCTGCATTCCAGCGCCCTTGTTGGATTCTCGTTGAAGCTTGAAAGCATTCAAAAGTAAAATTCGATTGATCTAAAGGTCAGGAGGGGCTGGAGCAAGGCATGACAGGTTTAATGTCCAGTTCTGGGTGTCTTCCTGGGACTTTACCTCTTTAACTCCGTACCTCATCTATAAAAATAGAAGAAATGAATGTTTACAAGTGAAAAGGAGAATACATTAAAATTAATACTAATGCCCCAAAGTAAACATGCCAATTCTTTCCAAAAGGATAAATACAAATTGATATTTTTAATAACATTTCAACCCAAACTCTATATAACATTTAAACTGTGAATAAGTAATAAAAACAAAGACAAAAAACCCAAAACAAACAAACAAACAAACAAACAAAACCAAAAAACACTGCCCAGTGGCACATGATGGTTAATGAGGGCATGCATGCTTCCTAGTAAAGCAAAAGGCTGACTGGGACTCTACTCTCTCTTTGGATCTCAAATACGAAATTCACTTACTTGGCAGGAAAAAATAAATAAAAATCAAGTTAAAATTAAAAAGGAGGGAAAGACTAGCACAAGGTTGAGTGAAATCAGGAAAATCAGACTAAGTTTGGGAATTGTCAAGGGATACTCCACTGTGTCTCCCCCTGGCCGGCTCCTGATGGTTCCGTGGCCAGTGTGAGTGAGGTCTATCCACTATGGCTTCCCTACCTCTCGGATTCCCAGTGACAATCAAATTCACCCTCTTCACCCCTGTGCGCTCCCTCAAAGTTACCCTTTGATTAATTCTGCCAATTTAGTGAGCTGCCTCGGTCATTTTGATTCAGTGACATTTCCAATCCATCTCCAGTGTTTTCCTCCTCCACCTCCAGTCTGTGTTAGCACAGCCATATTACTTTGATGTATGTTGCCCCAAGCTCCGGAGCCTCGCAGCCCCAGAGAAATCACTAACGTGGCATGTCTGATTTTCCTAATCTAGAAGATGGCAGAGCTGAAGTGTCTCTGTAATGGAAAACATTTTACATAGTAAATATGAATGGCCTCGCTCTCTCCTAGGTCACACTCATATTTAACATCTATTTCACAGGCAGCGTTTCCCCCTCCATTCTTCCTGCTTGGCGTTTTCAGATCAGGATTCCTAGCAGCCATTTCTGGCTAAATCGGTCTCTGGGTTGGGGACAGCACAGCACTGTTTACCTCCTAATAGCCTATTTATATCAGAGGTGTATTATCAAAATGCTAGAAAAAGATGAAAAGGTAAGGAAGGAAATTGTGCACTGTTCATAATTACACTCCCAATGCCTAATGTTCCTGCTGACATTGCCTAGCATCTTGCCTGGTCTGTAATAGGTGTTGGCGATGTATTTTTTTTTCCCCAAGTGAGCAGTTTTGTTTATGGGATGAAGTACCAGTGCCCAAAATGAACAAAACCTAAGTTTCTAGAATCATGTTTTAAGCTTCAAAGGTATTCTAGGAGCAAAAGATATTTATAATCTGTGGAGCCAAAGATATTTGCAATCTGTACGTAATTAGCACCCCATATCAAGAAAACTAATCTCCAATTAGGGACCAGAATTGCTTGGTCCTTGCTGACTGTGGGCAATGAGAGGCAAGGGGAATCATTTCTTTTCTCAATTTGGCCAGAGACATTACACAAATCTTTAAAAGCAACACATTTTTCTTAATTCTTTGCGAGTTTCATACATGTCTACAATGCATTTTGATCATATTCACCCCTACTTCCTCTGTTTCAACTCTTCTTGGACACCTCCAGGACTCCCTCACATTTTCAAAAGCTGTCCTCTTGAGTCCAATTAGTGCTGCTTATGTGTGCAAGAGTGTATACATGAGTGTGTGCATGGGTGTGTACAAGAGTGTGTGCATGAGTGTATGTGAGAGTGTGAGGCATCCATTGGAGTATGGCCAATTTAATTTAGCAGAGAAATATCCCTGAAGAAAACTGATTCTCCCTTCCACAGCAGGTATCAACTGTCAAAAGCTCCTCAGCTAGGGGGAGGGGCTTCTGAACCCCACCCCTTTAATGCTGAAATTTTAGCTGGCTTGCTCTTGTACAGGTCTTGTGCCCACAGCCATGGCTGCTGTGAGTTCATGAGAGTAACAGCCCTGTCATGTCCAGAACATCCTCTTTTCCAGCCATCCTCTCTGAGCTCTGAGTCTTACAATATTTCTGCCTCTTCCTCTGCAAAGTTCCCTGAGTCTTGGGGGAAGGAGAGGGAGGAAGGTTGTGACACAGGTCTATTTATGGCTGGGCACTTCACACACATCTGTTCTCTGCATGTTGACCAGTGGCGAAGCTCTCTATTAACTAATGTACACTGCCAAAGGAAGCTTCTGATGAGAACTGAGTGCTGCAATAAGAACTTATAAGGCAGTTTGATATTGTGCCCATTTAACAAAGAATAGTAGTAGATTCTCTATTTGGCCAGTGACATTTCCAATACTGTTTAATGTTATACTTTCTTTCCCTGGCCTCCTTGCACATTCTGACAATTTTTCTACCCTCCCACATTCTTAGCCAAAGACCTTGAATTTGTCTCTAGATCTTTGTTTCCTCTTGGTCCAAACTCCAGTGAGTCAACATATCTATCTCCTTGTTACTACCCTCAAGGACTTCAGAATACAACCTTCTCTCGCCGCCTACTACAGATTTCCACCTGCCACCTTCCTCTGGATGATCCTAACAGCTTTCAGAATTATCAACACAGCCTGCAAATGATTCCTCAGGATTCTCTGTTGTCCACTCAATTCTCCTCTGCTCAGTAGCATCCACAGCTCTTCATCTCACTCAAAGGAAAAGCCAACCACATTAGTATTGGTCTTCTCCACTTAGGACTTTTTACTGGGACCTGTTCCCCTTCTGTCTTTCCACCACCACTCCAACCACTCTACCCTGCCCACCCTTGTCCTAGCTGGGCCACAAGCATGCTATCTAAGTGTTTACCATTGCTTCTACCATGATGTTCTTCCACATCTATGCAACTTGTGTAAGTATTTACCTAAGTTACCTTACTGGAGTCTTTCTATGATGCTTGGATTTAAACTGTCTTTTCACCTCTGCCTCTCTGCTTTAGTTATTGCAACGCTTATCTTGTGACCTACTTCTGCTGTCTAATTAGAATGCTAATTGTAGGTTTTCACCACTAGAAAGTGAGATGCCTCTGCTGCAGTCCCAAAATTTATCAGGGAGCCAACTGATCAGATAGCTGCCACCAAATGAGTGAATGAATGGATGGATGAATGGATGGAAGAACATTTTCCTATTGCTTAGACCAGGATGCAATCCTTATTTGATTTCTGTACCTCTTCACAACTAAGTGGAATGTTTCTTTCTATAACAGAGCTTACTGGCATGATATAATATATATTTGAAATTATATGACAGAGTTCTGCCAGGCCTATCCTCCAAATGAATGCACTTTTCAGTGTAATTACTTCAAGCTTCATGGGAATGAGACCTATCGATCCAGAATTGCATGCTTCTTTATCAAATTGCCTTTAAAAATTATTGATACTCTATTATGCTTCTGAGCCCATCTCTGTTTCTCGATACATAGAAATCTAGAGGGATAGCCTGAGTATCAGGGAAGGAAAGAAAGATGCCAGGAGAGGGGAAAGCAGTCGAAAATACTGTTATGCTAACACCCCCATAACTAGTGTCAACCAGTTTCATTGAGCTTCTGGTATGTCTAAGGTCCATTTCAATTTGTGGAAAAAAATCATTACAAAGTTTAAGTCCTAGAAGATAGTAGGTAAATTATCATTTCAAAAGTGAGATTATTATAAAAGGGACAAGCACAAATACTCGTCTGAATAGCTGTTGGCATTATTGACTGGAGAAAGTTATAATAAGATTTATCATAAGCCATAGCCACCAAAGAAAAGTTGTCTCAGTAAAGAGACTGCTCCCCAAAGCCCACAAAAGTAGTTTCTGTGTACGAAAGTCAATTAAGGAGCCTAATTAGTAACATTTTATTTCAGTAGTAATGATACTCTTTGGCATTGTTTGGGACTTTGTAACAATGGAAAATGTGAAAAAATAGCAAAATGTGAAATGTGAATATGGACAGTGTTTGCCCTTATCCAGCTCCAAAGACATCAAAACTGCCTGAGTTTTCAGGCTGAAAATGTTAGTAGAATGAAGTACTCCTGTCACCTGATGCCTGTTAACATCAGCTATATAAGTGATCGGTGGAGTGTGTGTGTGTGTGTGTGTGTGTGTGTGTGTGTGTGTGTGTTTGCAGGTGCCAGTGCATACATGCTTGTGTGCATGTATGTGTGCAAAACAGAATTCATCCCAGATGTAGTTCCTCAGAAACCATCCATCTTGTTTGTGAGACAGGCTCTCTTATTCCTTGGAGCTTGCTGCTTTAGCTAGGCTGACAGGCAAGCCAGCAATCCCCAGCAATCCCTTTGTCTTTGAGTCACAAGATGTGCCAGCATGCCTGGCTGTTTGACGTTGGTGCTAGGGACTGAACTCCACTCCTTAGGATTGTATGGCAAGCACTTTACTGATGGAGCCATATTGCCATGCCTGGCTTTGTTTTTCTTTGAAGAAGAGTTGCCACAGCATAGGTTGAACTTGAACTTGGTAATCCTCCTCATGCCTCACCTCTGATGTGCTGGGTTTACAGATGTGTTAGTTAGCACATGGACATAAATGTGTGTTTATATGGTCCTAGAATACACTCAAAGACGACAAATATAATAAGTTCTTTATATTATGTGGAATAATTAGGTGAGCCTTTATACTCAGGTGACCCATAGGTATGTTTTCAAGTTTAAACTATAAAGTTATTATTTAGGTTAACTATATTTCATATACTCCTTTTTTTTTTTTTGGTTTTT